GTTTGCGAGAAAATGACGATTTACCTCTATGGCGAGGTCCGGCTGTAAAGAAAAAGCTGCCATTTTTTAATGTGCACGCGCTAATCACGCGTGAAATTATGCGCAGTAGGGATGCGCAATGCAATACTGGGGAATAACCTTAATTGATGAGATTACACTAATTCACACCTTGTCACTCATCATATTTTTGGCGAGTGTCCTGTAAGGAAAACTGTCTTAAACTTGAAGTTCTAACTTAATGGGTAATACAATAATGACTTAAAGATTTTTTTTTTGATACATATAGAAGACAGAAATCAAGTTACCCAGCTCCTTCCTGTGTTCCCCTTGTAGCACTGGAAACATTGTCTTTGCATCTGTTTTCACAGGTTTCTAGTAAGTAACAAATAAGCTGTAAGTCAGTCATAACCTCTATGGCATACAAAGCATTAAGTACTGAACAACATATCTTATTGCAATGTATGGCTGTGTACATACCTGTGTTTGTGGAAGGAATTGTGAACAATGCAAGGGGCCTTCCTGTGTAGCAAACCTATACCAATTAAAAACCAAAAAAGTCTCAGAACTTTACAGCTTGTATTAGAGGTATACTTGTTTTTCTAATATTCCCTGGCAGAGTAAGGTTGTAAAATGTACAAAGAGTCTCAGAACCTTACAGCTTGTATTAGAGGTATACTTGTTTTTCTAATATTCCCTGGCAGAATAAGGTTGTAAAATGTACAAAGGGCTTCAAACAATTTAAAATCATTTTTAATTTATGGTTCATTTTATCATCCTAGCTTGTTTCGTCTGACTTATGATTTTTCAGCTTTCTGTACATTTAAAATGATATGTCAAGTCAAGGAAATTTACTGCAATATAACAATAATTATGTTGTAATAACCAAGTCCAAGTTCTCTGAATTTGGGGATGTTTTATTTAATAGTCAGTAGTTAGCTATGTTGTAGAACACAAAATGAATTCTAAATTATGGATGTAGATCTTACCTGCACTAACTTGGTGAATTTCATGGGCATGATATGGAAACAACCAAGGTCAAGTTTACAATCAAAACCTCATATGGGGGTTTAAACAATTTTTTTTCTGGGGGGTATCAGTCACATAATGAAATTTTATTAGAGTTGACAATTTATTCACCACCTCCCTGTCACTTTTTTTTCTCAGTTCCCCCATCTCAGGTTGTATGTTATGTCAACATACCATCTTGTAAGCATGAGACTGTTTAACATTGTTCCAGCTTCCTGTCACTGCCTTCATCCATGCCATTGGTGTACGAAATGTCTCTCCTCCAGCAGATTCTATTAAACCATTTGACCGTAGAGAAGCTTCAAAATTCCTGCCCTATCACAGAAAGCAAAAAAAAAAAAAGTTAAAGAAGTTGAATCATGTGTACTAAAGGTATCCATGGTGGAGTGTCAATATTGACACTTCATCGACACCTAGGTTGAGACTTGATCAACACTCCATTGACATCTCAGTCAACAGTCGATCAAGAGTTGACTAATTTTTCATCGATTCATATGAATCATTTGACACTCGGCCGACTATCAGCTGTTCCATATTTCAACAGTTCCATATTTCATAGGTACAGTAACGAAAAACATGAGCAAAACAGTTTACAGTAGAACAAATTACCCCAAGCAATGTACCAGAACCCTTAGCAGAGAGCCCAAGATTGAGATTGGCATCTGTTCAACTGTGTAGTATTATTAAACCAATACCAACAGCAGTGATATTACTGATTTGAATTTGAACCAACTCCAAACCAGCCCACACTGCCTGCTGAGCTAAGTAATCCTACATGAATGCTAATGCTAATCAAATTGGAGTATTGTTTCTCCCCTGCATGGGATGCTAGTCTGTTACAGGTTACCCTCATCATTTTGTCAGGTTCCCTTACAGTTTGGCAATACCCATCAGGGGCGTAGCTAAGGGGTCCTGGGGTGCCTGTGACCCTTCTTTTGTAAGCCTTTTTTTATGCAAACAACCTATAACAGGTGGCAAAAATGACATGACAATCTGGTGGGTACCCTCACTTTGACACGGCGTGACCCCTCCTTTGAAAAATCCTGGCCATGCCCCTGCCCATTATTTATAGACCTGGGCGGAGAGAGGCACTGTGAGAGCATTTAAAGTGTCTTAAGCACCAATATAACACAACAATGCGTCGACTAACACTCAAATCCAGAGTTAGGTCTGGAGTCCAACACTAACCAGTAAGCCACATACATACATACATACTTATATTTTTGATGAGGCAGGTCTGCGTCTGGCAACCCAGAGGGCTGGTGTGGACCTGCCATAAAATATATACCTAGAAACTAAAATCTAAAATTATTAAAAATACATCCTTAGGTTTCAAAAGCTACTAAAAGATAATTTAAAATGACTTACAATTTACATTTCTATTAAAATTAAGTATAAAAAAGAGTGTTTTAAAAATATAAAAATGCACTATTCTTAGATTTAATAAGGCACGCCTCTTTCTCGAACTGTATTTGGTCTAATGTTTTTGAGGCTAGTTTAAGTTTTTCTTTAAAAAGCTGAAGAGAAGTAACGTTTCTTATAAATTTTGGGATGGAATTCCACACTATAGGGCCTCTATACCTTATGCTATTTCTTCCGAGTTCACTATGATAACGTGCTAGCGATTTTCATTTGGGCTTACAGATTGAACTACAAGGTCATACACTTTGCATACAACCTAACAAGATACTCCTAGCAAACCTCCTTGTGCCATGACCAAATTACTAAATATATCTCCTGGTAATTTCAAAAAATTTGCTTTTATAAATGTTGTCAACCAGTGAAAAACAAATAATGATTTGTGTAATTTTAAATTAATGAATCTCAAAAATAATTCTCCAAAACTTTGGTAGTAATT